TTTACAATAGGTGAACAGAAATCTGGAAGTAGCATTGAGAATCAAAGAAGACATCAAACCTACCTCCTGACACCAAACAAGGTGAAATGTGGAAGAATGAGCAGCTCTCATTTCCAAGGGCTAACAGGAAAACCGTATTTTCAGCGGGGAAGGTGGAAGGATTAATAGATTATAAGCTGAATATGGGAGAATTTGTTTATAATGGAGGATTCCAGAGGTCTTACTGGGAACGTTTGAAAGGCAGAGGAGCAGTAAGACTGAAACCAGGAGTGAGAAAATCAGAGCAGTAAGGGGATGCAAACATGAGTAAGCAGAGATAACTATGGGGCTTTATATTTTTGACAGTAACCACTGAAGGGAAGCTGATAGAATGTGCTGGCTACAAAGATTTACAGAGAACATTGGCATAAGGTAGTAGTCTTTGAGATCTAGCAATGCTGGCATTTTGGCAGTCTGCTCTAGTGACTGATGCAGGAACAACCCTTCAAGGTCAGAGACTGGGCTATGGGCCAGATGAAGCCTCCCACTGACACAGAGACAGAGGCTTTTATCTGTGGGCACTGAATTCTCTTCCCCTGGTACGGTCAACTTTCTTCTCCTTTTCTTCCATGTGTCCCTTCCTGTTCTTCTCCCTTGCCATTCAACCGTGAATTCAATCATCTCTTTATCAATCTTTGCTTAAGCCCTTGTTCAGTGCTCACTTTGGATATAGACTTTATCAGTTGATTTCTATGTATGCATGTTACCTACGATGTATGTATTCAGATGTCTCCTCTTCACTCTTTAGCAGGTTTACCTTGTGTCTCTCTTTGAGGGGTTTTGATGCTTTCAGTAGGAAGAATAATTCCTCATTGGCACTCAGAATGAAAAATTGACACCTTCTTCATTCCCCTCATTGGCAACAACTGAAATCTGGACACTTGCTGTGTAATTCCATTTAATTTCTTCCCATGCTGTCCCACGTCCAAAGTGTTCTTGTTTTACCACTTCACACTCTCATTTGGGCTGTGCAATAATTGTTGATAACACACAAAAGGGTACATGCTCTGCTCTGTGTCTATCTTCTCAGGTATAATTTCCACAGCCTTGGAGTCATCTAGGCTGCTCTGTGTAAGTATGAATACTGTAAGAACCACCCAGAAGACCTGATAACTCTATACCTTTCTTAATAAAAGGCAAAGTGCAATTTAGAAATTCTGACTGCAGACATATTCCCCAGAACCTTGTCCTTACCATGCAGATCTGGGAGCATAACAGAGGGCAGAGGGCAAAGAGTGAACAGCTTTTGCTCTAGGATCGGAGGTTACTTTTGTATGACTTGCTCTCAAACATCATTATCTCTGATGCCCTGACCTGTCCAAATGCTGGAATTTCCATGCCCAGACCTACCACTGGGACCTACCTGGCTCAAACCACCTCTGCTTACTATTTAAGCTTAACCTGAACAGCATTCATCCAGTCTTGCCGGTTGCTCTGGGCTCAACCTATTGCCCTGCATTTCTAAACATGGAGAAATTGGGCTTTGGTGAGAGACGAAACTGGTCAAAAGGGCTTGAAACTGAATCTAGAGGGAAAGTGAGAACAAAAACAGCATGACAGATATCCCTACCTTTTGTTCTGTCCCTGCCAAACCATTACCCATTAACACAGATCTGGTCGTATCATCACCCTATTCCAAAGTCTTCTAGGGTTTCCTAATAACCATGGGAACAAAATTCAAAATCCTCAGCAGGACCTTCAGGGTAGTTTATTACCAAGTTTTAATCTATCACTTCAGTCCCATTTCTTGCCACTTTTCATCTTGCTCTATGTTTCAGCCACAGCGTAGTGACTTTTCCCTGAACAAAGAGGTTTTTTTCCACACTCTTTCTTCTGTCTTGCACACGTACGTACTTAGTTGCAAATTGCCTTTCTACCATCTTCTGCCGAAGAGCATCTCTACAACCTTCAAATCCCTTTAAATCTCAATGTAACCTTTCCTGGACACTTTCCTACAGCCAAAGATAAGGGCTCCCTTCCATATGTTCTTTATACACATGTCTATTTAATGTTAATATATTTCTAGGGTAGGCTGGCTGGCTAGAAAATCTTGAGCAGGAGATGAACCTGCAGTCCACAGGTGGGATTTCTTTTTCTTTAGTGAAACTTCAGTTTTACTCTTAATGCTTTCGGCCAATTAATGAGTCCCACCAAAATTATCGAAGATAATTTACATCAGTTAAATTCACCTAATTGTAGATGTTAGCCATATCTACAAAATATCTTTACAGCATCACCTAGATTAGTGTTTAACTGAATAACTGAGTATTATATCCTAGCCAAGTTGACACACAAAACTAGTGAACACAGAAAAATATATTTATTGGTATCCCATTAGAAGCAAGTTTTCAGATATTTGGCTTTTTTGTTTGTTTACAGACTTCATTGAAGTATAGTTGCTGTACAATATTATATGTCACAGGTATACAATGTAGTGATTCACAATTTTTAAAGGTTATCCTCCATTTGTAGTTATTATAAAATATTGGCTCTATATTACACATGTTGTACAATATATCCTTATAGTTTCTTTTATACCTAATAGTTTGTACTTCTTACCCCCCTACCCCTATATTGCCCCTCCTCCCTTCCCTCTCCCCACTGGTAACCACTCGTTTGTTCTCTATATCTGTGAGTCTGCTTCTTTTTCATTATATTCACTAGTTTGTTGTATTTTTTTAATTCCACATATAAGTGATATCATACAATCTTTCTCTGTCTTATTGCACTTAGCATAATGCCCACCAAGTCCATCCATGTTGCTGCAAATGGCAAAATTTTCATTATTTTTTGTGGCTGAGTAGTATTCCAGTGTGTATGTGTGTGTGTGTGTGTGTGTGTGTGTTTGTATTTTACATCTTCCTTATACATTCATCTGTTGTTGGACACTTAGGTTGCTTTCATACCTTGGCAATTGTAAATAATGCTGCTATGAACACTGGGATGCATGTATTTTTTCAAATTGGTGTTTTTGTTTTTTTCAGTATATACCCAGGAGTGGAACTGCTGGGTCATATGGTAGTTCTATTTTTAGTTTTTTGCTAAACGTCCATACTGTTTTCCAGAGTGGCTGCACCAATTTACTTCCCACCAACACTGTATGAGGTTTCCCTTTTCTCCACATTCTCGCCAACATTTGTTATTTGTGTTCTTTTTGATGATACCCATTCTGACAGGTGTGAGGTGCTGTCTTGTGGTTTTGATTTGCATTTCCCTGATAATTAGTGATGTTCAGTATCTTTTCATATGCCTGTTGGCTATCTGCATGTTCTCTTTGGAAAAATTTCTATTCAGTTCTTCTTTTTAGTTCTTTTCTATTCAGTTCTTTTTAGTCAAGTTGTTTGTTTTTTTGATGTTGTATGAACTGTTTACGTATGTTGGATATTAATCCCTTATTGGTCACGTCGTTTGCAAATATTTTCTCCCATTCAGTTGGTTGTCTTTTTATTTTTTCAGTGGTTTCCTTTGTTGTGCAAAAGCTTTCAAATATAATTAGGTCCCATTTGCTTATTTTTGGTTTTATTTCCTTTACATTAGGAGATGGATGAAAAAAAATATTGCTGTGATTTATGCAAAAGGGTGTTCTGCCTGTGTTTTCCTCTAGGAGTTTTATAGGATCTGGTCTTACAGTTAGGTCTTTAATCCATTTTGAGTTTTTTTGTGGTGTTTGTTAGAGAATGGTTTAATTTCATTCTTTTACATATAGCTGTCCACTTTGCCCAGCAGCACTTATTGAAGAGACTGTCTTTTCTCCATTGCATATTCTTGCCTCCTTTGTCATAGGTTGACCATAAGTGTATGGGTTTCTCTCTGGGCTTTCTATCCTGTTTCATTGATCTATATTTCTATTTTTGTGCCAGTACCATACTGTCTTGATTACTGTAGCTTTGTAGTATAGTCTTAAGATGGGTGCATGATTTCTCCAGCTCTGTTCTTCTTTCACAAGATTCTTTTGGCTATTCAGGGTCTTTTGTGTTTCCATACAATTTTTAAAATTATTTGTTCTAGTTCTGTGAAAAATGCCATTGGTATATTGACAAGAGATTGCATTGAATCTCTAGATTGCCTTAGGTAGAATGGTGATTTTAACAGTACTAACGCTTCCGATCCAAGAACACAGTCTATCTTTCCATCTGTTTGTGTTGTCTTCAGTTTCTTTCATCAGTGTCTTATGGTTTTCCGAGTACACATCTTTTGCCTCCTTAGGTAGCTTTATTCCTAGGTATTTTATTCTTTTTGATGCAATGGTAAATGGGATTGTCTCCTTAATTTCTCTTTCTGATAGTTCTGACTGCTCTGGGATGACTATGTGAGCAGTCTGGTAGGCTTGGTTGGCCCAGTTGGTTGCAAGGCACTGCCTTGTGGAGATGCTGCTGGCTGGGGTCTAGTTATGAGGTGGCTGGCTGCAGAACTCTAGGGGACCCCAGGGCTATGGTGGCTCACTGGTGGGCAGACTCAGGGTCCAGAAGACCCCAGGGCTGTTGCCCACCCTCTGGCAGGTGAAGGCAGGTCCTGTGGTTAGTGCTGGACTACTGATAGGCAGAGCCAGGTCCTAGAGTCTGGCTGTAGGGCCCAGGGATCCTGGAGCTGGTGTCAGATCACTGGTGGGGTGGCGGGGGGCTGATTGCTGACACAGTTGGGTATGGAGTCCAGGGTGTCCCAAAGCTTGTGTTGGCCTGCTAGTAGGCAGGGCCCAGCTGGTTCCAGGGTAGGGTCTGACCTACTGTGGGTGGGATGGGTCTACATTCTGAGGGACTGTAGTTTTCTCGTGTCTAGTGTCTGTCTGCCTCGTAGTGGGTGAGGGTGATCTAGAAGCTAGTTCAGACTTCCTGGAGAGCAGGGCTGGTGCCTGCCCACTGGTGGGTAGAGCTCAGTCTTGGTCATCTGGTGGGCAAGGCTGTGTCTAGAGGCAGACTGTCTGTTGACACATAGGCTCTGTCCCCACCCAGTTAGTTGTTTGGCCTGAGGTGTCCCCAGTACTAGTGTCTACAGGCTTTTGGGTGGGAACAGCTCTTGATGCTAATGAGCTAGAAGGAGGATCTCACAATGCGAACAACAGTGTCCACAAGGTAGAACACTCCCAAATATGACTGCCACCAGAGTCTATGTCCCCAGGGTGAGCCACAGCTGCTGTGCCCCCCCCCAATCTCCCCCACAGATCAGCAGTTCGGTCTGGCCCAGGTTCCTATCAAATTACGCCTTTTGCCCTGGGTCCCAGTGCATGTGAGATTTTGTGTGCACTTCACCCTAGTGAAGTTTCTATTTCTCCCAGTCCTACAGGGCTGTCAAAAAGTAAGCCCCACTTGTCTTCAAACCGCATGCTCTGGGGGCTCATCTTCCCAGTCCAGGACCCCTGGGCTGAGGAGCTTGATTTGGGGCTCATAACTCTCACTCTTATGGGAGGTACCTCTGCGATATAATTATTCTCCGGTCTGTGGTCGCCAACCCAAGGTTATAGGATTTGATGATAGCGCAAGTCCGCCCCTCCTACACATTTCATTGTGGTTCCTTCTTTATGTCTTTAGTTGTAGAAGATCTTTTCTGGTAGGCTCCAGTCTTTTTCACTGATGGCTCTTCTGCAGATCGTTGTGATTTTGATGTGCTCATGAAAGGAGGTGAGCTCAGGGTCTTTTTACTCTGCCATCTTGGACAATCTTCTCAGATATTTGGAAGCAGCTGTAGCAGAAGGATCTAACTGTGGGATATGGAGCCAGTCATTAAATTTCTTTTCTTATTATTCACATATATAGTAGCTATTAAATATCTAGAAATAATTTTAGGGATATATTCATTGCTTTTTATACTACAGGCCTTTAGGCATTTGCTTTCAAAACTAAATAGATGAAATTTCTGTTTTGTTGGAGAGTGAACAAAAACAGCTGCAAAAACTTGAAAGTAGGATTTTATGACTGAAATAAATGAGGTAAAGAAAAGTATGCTTGTAACAAATGAAAAGATTGGAAATGTCAGTGGAGAAAGAGAGATACTATTATGAAGAACCGACAGGAAATTCTAATGTAATACTAGACATAAAAATATATATTTATTCACCAAAGAAATATACAGATGGCAAATAGACATATGAAAAGATGCTCCACTGTATACATCATCAGGGAAATGCAAATTAAAACAACCGTGAGATAGATAGTACTACACATCTCTTAAAAGAGCCAAAATCTAGAACACTGACAACACCAGATGCTGGCAAGGATGTGGAGAACAAGAACTCTCACTCATTGTTGATAGGAATGCAAAATAGCATGGAAAATAATATGGAAACTTAGGAGAAAGTTTGGCAATTTCTTACAAACCTAAACATACTCTTAACCTTATGATTCAGCAGTCATGATCCTTAATATTAACCCAGATGAACTGAAAACTTACGTCCACAAAAAACACGAACATGGATATTTATAGCAGTTTTATTCAAATGGCCAAAACTTGGAAGTAGCCAAAATGTCCTTCAGTGGGTGAAGGGATAAATAACCTATCTAGGCAATGGAATAGTATTCTTTGCTAAAAAGAAATGAATGAGCTATCAAGCTATGGAAAGACATGGAGGAACCTAAATGCATATTACTAAGCAAAAGAGGCCCATCTGAAAAGGCTACATACTGTATGATTCCAATTATATGATATTTTGAAAAAGGTAAAACTAGGGGGAGAGTAAAAAGATCAGTAGTTGCCAGGGTTTGGTGGGAGAGATGGATAAGCAGAGCTCAGATGATTTTTGGGGCACAGCGAAAATATTCTGTATAATACTGGAGGACATTATGCTGAGTAAAGTAAGCCAGACACAGAAAGATACTTGTTGTACTATCTCACTTACATATGGAATCTAAGAAAAAAAAAAAAAAAGCTGAACTCACAGTAACAGAAGAATGATGGTTACCAAAGGCTTAGGGGTGGGGGAAAAGGAGAGATACTTATCAAAGGGCACAAATGTTCAGTTATTAGATGAATAAGTTCTAGAGATCTAATGCATAACACGATGACTAACGTTAATAATAATGTGTTGTAAACTTGAATTTTATAAAGAGGTAGATCTCAAGTATCCTCACCACACAGAGATATACAAACATGGGAACTATGTGCAATGATGGATATGTTAATTAGCTTGATTGTGGTAATAATTTCACAATGTATATGAATAGCAAACATATACTTTAAACATATATAATTCTCAATCATACTTCAATAAATCTGGAAAAAATAGAATTCTGTATCCAGAAAAAATAATCTTCAAAGTAAAAGTAAATATATTTTTAGAGAAAATGAAATTGAGTTCATCAGCTTCAGACTTGCACTACAAGGAGTGCAAAAGGAAGTTCTTCAGCTGATAGAAAATGATGCAAGATGATACTTGGCTCCCCGAAAAGAAGTGAAAATTATTGAGAATGATAACTATAGGGGTAAATATAAAAGTTCTTTCTCTTTCCTCTTAATCTCTTTAAAATATATATGAATAGTTAAAGGAAAACATATTGTTTTGCAGGTTGTATAATGTGTGTAGATGTAATGTTTATGAAAACTATAGGCTTAGGAATCAAAGGGACTAAATGCACTTTTACAGTTGCAAATTTTCTAAAGTAGACTTTGAAAAACAATGAATATTGTCAACCGTAAAGCAATGACCAAAAAAATGACTTACAGCCAAGACCCAGCAATCCCAGTCCTAGTTATTTACCCGAAATAAATTAAAAGAAACATAACAGCACAGTCTGGAGAGCCCAGGTGTCAATCCATAGGAGAATGGATAAGCAAATTGATATTCGCACAATAGCATACTACTCAACAATAAAGTGGACAGACTTACTACTTGTGCATGCATGACTTGGCTAATCCACAACACTATGCTAAGTGAAAGAGTCTTATACAAAGGATACATACTGCATGATTCTGTTTATATGCTATTCTAGAACAAGCAAATCTAATTTTTGTCAGAAAAAAATATCAGAACAAAGTTTATCTCCAGAGTAGTAGGGATAGTGATTGACTGGAAAGGGGGAAAAAGATAACTATCTGGGGTTATGGTAATATTCTATATCTTGATAGGAGCTTGGGTTACAACAGATGTATGCATTATCAAAACTCAACAAAAGTAAAGATTTGTGTATTTCATTGTATGTAAATTTTACATCCAAAGAAAATAACTATCAAACAACTGTTGAACTCTATTAATGATGTGCATGGTGAAGTATTTAGAGGGAAATAATAAGGGTCTGCAATTTGCTTTAAAATGCCTTAAAAATAGATAGGATGATATATGTAGTAGAGAGGGATGGATAGCTAGGGATGTAATGAATGCAGGTCTAGTAAAGGTTAATGATAGAATTTAGGTGATTTGTATACAGATGTTGATTGTATGGTTCTTTCAGTTTGCTGCCTGACTGAAAATTTTTATAATAAATGGTGGGGGGAAATAAATGGATGAGCAAGCAATCACATTTTTAGGGTTTGATTATTTGGCTATAGTTTCAGAAATGTAAGTGCTCTATTATTTATTTTTAAATATGGTACTGGGCCAAAGCAATCCTGAGAAAGAAAAATGGAGCTGGAGGAATAGACTCCCTGACTTCAGACTATGTTTCAAAGCTACAGTAACGTATGGTACTGGCACAAAAACAGAAATATAGATCAATGGAACAAGATAGAAAGCCCACAAATAACCCATGCACCTCTGATCAATTTAATCTACGACGAAGGCGGCAAGACTACACAATGGAGAAAAGATAGTTTCTTCAATAAGTGGTCCTGGGAAAACTGGATAGCTACATGTAAAAGAATGAAATTAGAACATTCTCTAACACCATACACAAAAATAAACTCAAAATGGATTAAAGACCTAAATGTAAGGCCAAATACTATAAAACTCTTAGAGGAAAACACAGGCCGAACACTCTCTGACATAAATAGCAGCAAGATCTTTTTGGACCCACCTCCTAGAGCAATAAAAATAACAACAAAAATAAACAAATGGAACCTAATTAAACTTAAAAGCTTCTGCACAGCAAAGGAAACCATAAATAAAATGAAAAAACCCACAGGATGGGAGAAAATATTTGCAAATGAAGCAACCGACAAGGGATTAATCTCCAAAATATACAAACAGCTCATGCAGCTCTATATCAAAAGAAACAACCCAATCAAAAAATGGGCAGAAGACCTAAACAGACATTTCTCCAAGGAAGACATACAGATGGCCAAAAAGCAAATGAAAAGATACTGAACATCACTAATTATTAGAGAAATGCAAATCAAAACTACAATGAGGCATCACCTCACACCAGTTAGAATGGCCATCAGTAGATCAGTAGAGAATTACATTTTTATATTGTCTTCCTTTTAATATGATACACCTCTGTATTTACTTAAGTATTCTTTAATGATTGTAATAAGGTTTTTTTCCATAAAAGTTTTATATAGCTTCTGTCAGATTTACTCCTTAGGACTTTATCTCCACTATTATAATGGTATCTTTAAGAATTATGTTTTCTAACTATTGATATACAGAAATAAAACTGATTTCTATTTTAAAAAAAAGTAAACAAACAATAAATGCTGGAGAAAGGGTGGAGAAAAGGGAACCCTCCTACACTGTTGGTGGGAACGTAAATTGGTGCAGCCACTATGGAGAACAGTGTGGAGGTTCCTTAAAAAACTAAAAATAGAGCTACCATATGATCCTGTAATCCCACTCCTGGGCATATATCTGGAGAAAACCATAATTCTAAAAGATACACGCAGCACTCATGTTCATTGCAGCACTATTTACAATAGCCAAGACGTGGAAGCAACCTAAATGTCCATCGACAGAGGAATGGATAAAGAAGATGTGGTACATATTTACAATGGAATATTTTTCAGCCATAAAAAAGAATGAAATAATGCCATTTGCAGCAACATGGATGGGCCTAGAGATTATTATGCTACCTGAAGTCAGACAGAAAGACAAATATCATATTATCACTTACATGTGGAATCTAAAAAAAATGATACAAATGAACTTACAAAATAGAAACAGACTTCGAAAACAAATGTATGGTTACCAAGGGGAAACGTGCGGGGAGGGATAAATTAGGAGTTTGGGATTAACATATACACACTACTATGTATAAAATAGATCATCAACAAGGACTTACTGTATAGCACAGGGAACTCTACTCAATATTCCGTAATAACCTATATGGGAAAAGAATCTGAAAAAGAATGGATATATATGTGTATAACCGAATTGCTTTGCTGTACACCTGAAACTAATACAGCATTGTAAATCAACTGTACCCCAAAATAAAAATTAAATATGGTAGTAGGTACCATATTTTTCTACCAATAGTCATCCTACAATGAAGAGATAAAGAAATCCAGAAGTGTTTTCGGACATACCTGAAGAATCAGCTTCTGCTTGGATGAAAGAACTCCTAAAGTCTGGCTTTGAGAACCAAATGTTTCTTTTAGTATGGAAGTAGATTAGGTTAACTTCTCTTTTTTTCAAAACCCCAGGGCTTGGAGCAGGTGGAGTGTGACTTTCAGTCTGAAACGGAGATGTGCCTTCTTTATTCACCAGCCGTATCTGGAAGAATCAGTAACTTGATTGACGGAGCCCTTAATGACCTGGTGCTTTACGTTGCATAATAGTGCTGCAGGTGTCTTTCAAAAGGATGTTTCAGATAGGACAGTGAGCCCCCTTCCTTGGTAAATCATACTTCACCATACACAAATAAGTTCTTTGTTTGGCCTGGGGAGTGTGTTTAAAAATCTACCAACTCCACTTGGACTTACAGCTGTCTCAGACAGTTCTATTTTTCTTTCTGATGACAGACACATTTATACCTGTTCTTCACCCAAAATCTTTCTTTTGCCTGAAATAAGGTAGTAGTTCTATAGTTCAAGAATTTCACTTTATTCTAAGAGATAAAGCTTATTTTCTAGCTTCTGTACTGTTGATTTGAAAATTAGGCGATGGTGTTTCACAAGTCCTGGATTTGATTTGGCTTGGAGAAAGGTTGTGGTCTCCTGGAAATAGTGGTGATTGTCTGGGAGGTATCTGAACTGAGCCCCTCTCTCTGTAGAATAAGAACAGAATATTCATGAACAGACTCATATGGTGGACAGGAACCAATAGAAGAACATTGATGGGCCGAGGTGAATATACTGTACTGATGGTAATAATTTTAGACTCTTACTTGGGAACGAAAATTGAAAAAAGTTTGAAATGGATATTATAACTCCTAGGAAGAAGGTAATTTCCTCCTTCACATCTACCTTCTCCTCCCTTTCTTACCTCGTTTCTTCCTTCTTTTCTTCCATCCCTTTCTCCTAGTGCCAACAAACTATAGGATATGTATTGCTATATATAATATGTATTATATATAATATTCATATTACATCTTTTTATAGGTAGGCAGATGTCAATCTTGCTGATTTTCGAATAATGAATCATGAACACAGGAGGCTGGAACCATCACCATGAACACTGCTTGGGTACAGAATTAAAGAGGCATGTTGCAGAAAGATGAATGAGAGTCTTCACCCCAGAGGCAATACAGTTATGGACAAATTCTTTTTTGAAAATTGTATTGGCTTGTTTGTTTAGATCCTGTCTTCTTCCCCCAAATTGGATGTATCTTAAAATATACATATACCATAATATTCTCAAGAATAAATAAAAATCATGGAGAGAGAAGTAAATACAGGTATAAAAATACTAGTAAAATATAATTATAATAAAATATTACAGTTAATTGTGCATTTCTATAAGCTAATGTAAAAAAATCATGAGTCATATAGTCCTTTTTAACAGGATAAAGCAAAATGGTTCTTTAGTAAAGAAAACCTTTGCCTGTGCTAAATTTTAAAGAAATTTAATCATTCATACTATGCATGAATATTTATGGTACTCTTTAGTTGAAAAAGCTCTCTTCTTTTTTTCCCACTAATACAAGTTTATAAGTATTTTTGTCTCATTTTACAGAAGAATAGATTGAAGGTCAGAGAAATATGGTTTGGTAACCAGTAAATTACAGAGTGGGAGTTCCAGCCTATATCTTTTAACTCCAAATCTTGTGCTCTTTTCACATCACCATGTCAGAGACATTGGCCACAATAATGGATGCTGTTTTCAACAGTACATTTATTGAAGATGCAGGAATGGAGATAGCATATGACCATTTCCTGTATTGGCCCTTGGTTAAAAGCTGAGGGCATAGAGGTTAAAGCAAAATTCATTGAGTGACTTGCTGTTTTGGATAATTTACTGAGGTCTAGGTATTCTGCTTTTCAATTCAAATTTATGTGAGTTTAGGACTTCAGAATAACTGAAGGAATTGAGGCAAGATGTGCTCCCCAGACTAAAAATCTCATTATTATTTTCTTGATTGGAAATTGTATCAATCAGGATCCCTGCAGGAAAGAGATGGCACCACTCAAACTGGGTAATTGGAGTTGAATAAAAGGACTCTTTACAAAGAAGCAGGCAGAATTTAGGGAAACCAACATGGACCAGTGCAGGACTTCCAGAGAGGAACCAGTCAAGGAATAGCACCCCTACAGGAAGGGAGCTAGAGGAACAAATTCTTTGATCAATTCACCAGTCTCCTGCTGGGACTCCCATTGAATGACCTCAACAGAAAGCTAGAGGACATGGGAGCCCTTTGATACATTCCATATAGGTCAGTGTTCAGAGGCAAAGAGCAGGGTGGAGAACGGTGGTGGGTGAACCTGGAGGCGCACACAAGCACGAAAATGGGTGGACGTTGGTATAGGAATGAGTTCTCTGGAAGAAGCAAACAGAACAGAAGTTTGGTAAATGCTGATCAGAGAAAGACCTATCTGCTCTCAATCACAGCTGGGATGGTTTTCATATAGATTAAGTTAAAGAAGGGAAAAAAGAAAAACTTTTCTTGAACACCAGTATATTCCAGGTACTGTGTAGGTCATTTCTATAGGTCTGCTTATTTACTTCTTGCAATAATAACTGGATATAATAATCACCATTACATATGTGGGAAAGTAAGGCTCAGAGAGGCTAAGAAATTTATACTATAAAACAGCCAGTAAATAACAAATCTGAGATTCCAATGCAGCATTTTCTAACATCGAATCTTGGACTTTCTTCAGTTTTGCAATTTTCCTGCCCACTTTATATGTCACCACAGGAAAGCAGTAACACTTCTGCACTGAAGCAGAAGCTTAATGTTTCTGAAGAAGCAGTTTTAGATTACTTATATATACAAACCAGGGTTCAATCAAGACCAAAATTACCACTCAAGACTATGGTAGAGCGTATTTAAATTTGGAAACTTCAAAGACAATAATGAGTCATATGCCTTCCCCATAATGATAGCTGCCATTTACTGAATATTTAAAATATAGACCATTCACTTTCTATGCATTAAATTAATTCATCCTCATATCAATCATATAAAGAGAAAATTTGAAAGTGAAGGATAGAAGGAGAATGAACAAAGTAAAAGGGTTAGGGACAGAAGCTAGACTTCTCTGAATAAACCTTGTCCCTACAATCACAAAGCAAAATAAAATAATGAAAAAAACATTTAAATTCCCCCAAAACAGAAGAAAAAAACTTTTAATTTGATATAAATTTGTGGGCACAGCCCAATAGAGAGGAACATTTTCAAGTGATTTAAAACAGAGTAGTTTATCTGTACATCTTTAGAGAGATGTACCCCAAGGACAAAACCGCCCAAAACTGGAAAAAGAAATTCTGAAAATGGTGTAATAAAATTATGAGTAATAATATTGATATTGTTATTCTGAAACTATTATACAATGTATTTTGTATACATAATTAATATGATATAATATAGTAAAGTAATATCACTTTAACATAATCACTGTCATTAGGACCTAAGATTTTTAGTATAGTAGAAAAAGAAATATACAGGGGGACCTTGAAGATGGCGGAAGAGTAAGACGCAGAGATCACCTTCCTCCCCACAGATACACCAGAAATACATCTACACGTGGAACAACTCCTACAGAACACCTACTGAAGGCTGGCAGAAGACCTCAGACTTCCCAAAAGGCAAGAAACTCCCCACGTACCTGGGTAGGGCAAAAGAAAAAAAGAAAAAACAGAGACAAAAGAATAGGGACAGCTCCTGCACCAGTGGGAGGGAGCTGTGAAGGAGGAAAGGTTTCCACACACTAGGAAGCCCCTTCGCGGGCGGAGACTGCAGTTGGGGGAGGGGGGAGCTTCGGGACCGCGGAGGAGTGCACAGCGACGGGTGCGGAGGGCAAAGCGGGGAGATTCCCGCACAGAGGATCGGTGCTGACCGGCACTCACCAGCCCAAGAGGCTTGTCTGCTTACCCGCCGGGGCGGGCGGGGCTGCGAGCTGAGGCTTGGGTTTCGGTCAGAGCACAGGGAGAGGACTGGGGTTGGCGGCTTGAACATACCCTGAAGGGGTTAGTGCACCACGGCTAGCCGGGAGGGAGTCCGGGGAAACGTCTGGAGCTGCCGAAGAGGCAAGAGACTTTTTCTTCCCTCTTTGTTTCCTGGTGTGCAAGGAGAGGGGTTTAAGAGCACTGCTTAAAGGAACTCCAGAGACGGACGCGAGCCGTGGCTAAAAGCGCGAACCCCAGAGACGGGCGCAAGCCACGGCTAAAAGCGCAGACCCCAGAGACGGGCGCGAGCCGCGGCTAAAAGCCACAGACCCCAGGGACGGGCGGGAGACGCTAAGGCTGCTGCTGCCGCCACCAAGGGGCCTGTGTGCGAGCACAGGTCACTATCCACACCCCTCTTCCGGGGAGCCTGTGCAGCCCGCCACTGCCA